CAGCAGAGCGGGACAGTATTTCAATGCGGCACAACGCCTGCAACTTTACAAGGTGCAGTTTCGGCCTCACTGGAATACTCTTCCGATCTCTGGTCTGGGGCTCCCCAGTGCCAGCTCCTTCCACTTGACTGCATCAAGCGCAGAGCGGCTCGAATCGTTGACGACCGAGTCCTTTCTGATCCGCTCGATTCATTTGCGCTGTGAAGAGATGTTGCATCTCTTAACATTTTCTTTCGCATTTACCACGGGGAGTGCTCTGAGGAATTGTTCTGATTAATCCCAGTCGCCAAATTTCACGAACGCACATCGCGACAGAACCCCCGATACTATCCACACCACCTGGATGATTGGCGGTCCACCATTGTGCGATTTAGAAGATGTTTTCTTCCTCGCACAACTTCTTTGTGAAATAGTTTACCACCAGCGATTTTTCCGGACCGATATGACTTAGGGACCTTCAAGAAAAGAGGCTACTGCTTTTTAAAAGGCCGGCAACGCATCTGCAATTCCCCTGGTGTTGCGGTTGTTCATGGGCGGCGGTAGTCACTTACCATCAGGTGAGCCGCATTCTGGTTTGCCCCTCTTCTATAAAAAAAAAATCAGATAAAGATATTTTCTTTCCTTTCGTTTTGTTTTAACTTTTTTATCAGACTAGCGACCTATCCCTGCGTTTCTGGATAGGATCTAATAAGTCTTATGTGACGTCATGTAAATTAAAGATAGAAAAGACCCTTTATTTTATCAATAATTTTGTTTTTTTTTTCTGTGTCCTCGTTTGTCACTCTTAATCTATATATAAACCACTAAGCCTAATAGAAGCCATTTATTTCAATATTACAGACAGAGACGTCAATTTTATTTGAAGTTTTAATTTTTTTTTAATTTTTGTTTATTTTTACTGTTCCTTGAGTTTACAGCCAAAGCAGCCGCAAGGAAACTTGATGTCCTTGCAATGGTGCAGCGGTACTTCACGCCGGGGCAGCTTCTTGCCTTATATAAAGCGCAAGTCTGGTCGTGCATAGAGTACTGCTGTCACATATGTGCTGGTGCTGCAAAATGCCACCTGGCAGTGTTGGACTCAATGGAGAGACGTTCTAAGAGGCTCATTGGTGACCTTGATTTGTTTGAAACCAATCTTGTCATCCTCGATGGAAGATGCAAAGTAGCCAGTCTCTCGGTATTCAATGCACCCTGCATTTCGGTGAGTGTGCGCAGGAATTACACGCTTTAATTCCTCCCTCTCCTTTCCACTATCGGACGACCAGGCGCTCGGCGGGTCTTCACCCTTTTGTTGTCGATATTCCACATATTAGAACCAAACAGTTTGCTTCGACTTTTGTAATGCGTACAGCAAAGGGGTGGAATAATTTACCGGCGTCTATGTTTCTGTGCGAATACAATCTGGACAAGTGTGAATAGGCTTTTGTTACACTAAGACAGTGCGATTTACCATCTAGGGCTGCATCAACACTTACCACTAGATGAGAGTGTGATCAAGCACTGCTTATAATAAGTAAAAAAATGTGAAATATACTTAACGCTTCTTGGTTGGTTTGGGAAATGCAGTCCGACTAAGGGAGAAAATTTTGCGAAAGGATTAAACTTTTACAAATACAGGGACCGGGGCTGCTTGTAATCATTTACATACAAAGCGGATTAACTTGGGCTATTACCACATGAGTAAAGAAATCGTACCGTACCTCACACTCTCACTCACTCAATATCGCTTAGAATTTTGAAAAAAATTGTCAACGTAAATAATAAATTTATCTTGCTTTTATACTTTTAATATTATTATATCAAAGCGTAACTTGAGTTATTGTAGGAAAAAAGGTTACCTTATAAAAAATTACGCCGGATCATTGAATAGATCGTAAATCTACGACACGAAAGAAGACCTTTTCTCTCCTCGCTTTTTAGTGTATCTTGTGTTTTGTTTCATTGCAAAATAAAGAATACATAACATTGAATTGAGTAGGCACAGGTAAGGCGAATATTTGGCTTCGGTGTGTTAGAGTAGTTTTCTCAATTATACTGAGTGACCAGCATTTCTTGTGGTGATTCAATACTGATACTATTATTGTACGTGGAAGAACCACGTTGCATCTATATTATGTTTGTCGCACGCATGGGTCGATTTGTTCAGGGAAAGACCACGTTTTCAAAACCTATCAATACCAGTGTGAAATAGCAGGTTAAACTGTGTTTCGTATGGTGAATGTGGAAAACCGGAGACACTTTAATGCTAACAACGTATACTATCTTAGTCCTTAGGTTTGACATTGCATCTGTATTTTGATTCCTATTTGTGCATAGATGGACAAATGGACCGTGTGATGAGTGACGTGACAAACGAACTCACAGTCTCCTCATGGTAAGTGGCAACTGCAGTCCATGGACACCTACATCTGACTTCAAACAAAGAAGGCGACAGATGCATTGTCACCTGTAAGAAATGATATGGAATGCCTTAGAACCTGTAATTATACTGACTATATATTATACCTTAGTACCGGAAAATAAAGAGAACTACTATTTGGCGATAGAAATAGTTAAGAAGTTGGTAACCCCAGTAGACTCTGAGTGACTGACAAAGAGTTTTGGCGGGAAATTGACCGGCGGCGGTTTGCTGCTCCTGTATTATAGTTTAAATAATAGTTTCAAGTGGATTTTGATATGTAAAAGTGGTGCGATTTTATGTATTAACTGTCTACGCATGTGAACTATTAGTGGAAACGGTGAAAAAAGTGCTCTGATGGTGATGGATTCTCAAGATAAGCTGTTTGTCTGCATAGGCGCCTTTAGATACCATCGCCAACTGTCAGCTGTCTGCTGGCTCAAGTTGCCGTCAAAATCTCCCAAGGGCTGCACAATGTGACGCATCAACATATTGTGAAGCAGTGAACTATGAAAGATAATTATACATTTGGGAAATTATAATAAACCGAATAAAAATACTCAAGACTTGGCCTAAAGGTCTAGATACCAGGCCATAAACTCCAAAAAAAAAAGTGACTGACAAAATCTATTTATGTAAAACTAGTCTTTACGAATTTTATTCCAGACAGCAACCATGATCATGGAGGGGGGGGGGGACGAGGTGTTCGACTTCATAGTTTACCACGGCTACTTTCAGTTTAAATTTATTAATTTTTAGTTCGATCTACACAGAATGAACTTATAGTAACTTGAAGTCTTGCAGTTGTATACTTGGGTTGGGATTTAATTTTATTAATTATTGGATCCAAGTAGATAGCAGCACCCAGCAATAATCTCTATTGAAATAAGGATGTTTTATGATTTCAATGGCCTCGCAAATCGTATTTAGAAATAATGTGTGTATTTCAGCGAGGATATGTGGTTTGTCAAATCTGATTTAGCAGCGGGGGCATTCTTGTACAATTTCGCAGACTGCAGAATTCGTCGCTCCGGGAAGTAGGTACGAAAATAAAGAAGGAAAGGAAAAAGTAAGAAAAGAGTAAGAAAAGAAAGCAAAATTCTCGCAATCGGTTCCGGCGCATTTCTTAGATACTATGTACGACTCTACATAAGCAAGTTACTATGTGTAAAGGTATAATATAGTAATTTTCTGATAAAGCTGTCCTCCTTAATTTTTTCAAAAAAGTAACGTAATCCATCTTATTCTTTCAAACGCCTTAAGGTCGAAAAATTCTCCGTAAGTACTCCAGCTATCTGTCCGCGTCAAATGCTCCCGCGCTGTGTCGACAGGAGGGCGTTGGACTAATGGAGTCTTTATAAACAATCAGTGGCGTCAGCATAGACGAAGCCTAAAATAAATAATTATTATAAATTGTGTTCCTTTGATAACGCTATCATATCATTATTGTAATACAAGCATCAGTGTTAAAACAGTAATTTAAAAAAAAACTGCATAAAAAAGATTATTAAAAAGAGCAAAAAAAATTATACCCTATGTCACTTCCACAACTAAACGTACACAATATTTTTAACATTATTATATTAAAGCGTGACTTGAGTTTTTGTAGGAGAAAAGGTTTCCTTACAAAAAAAAAACTACGCCGGATCGTTAGAAATAGAATAGATCGTAAATATACGACACGAAGAAAGACCCCTCACTCTTTACTGTACCTTGTGTTCCGGTTACACCGGTTCTACTGCGGATATCTTCTGTTTAAGACTATCATTAGTAGCAATAAAGAAATGTAGATGGCGCTGGGCGATTTAAACACGGGCTATCATTTATCTCACCAGTCAAGTGTATAGTCAAATAAATCAAATATTAAAAGGAAGAATTCAGATCAAGTACATAGTGTTTTATTGTAACCTCTATAGTACCCAAATTAGTTCAACAGTTCAACAGTGCAATAGTTCAGCAAGACCACCATTAAACATTTGGTCTACATCGAGTCGGATTAGCTCGAATTTTTTGACGACGTTGTGGTTCTTATCTAAGGACCACTCCCGCGTACTCGCAGTGGATCGCTGCGCAAACCGAGTACGCGGTTAAGCCGTGGCGCTAGAGGCGCCCTGTATGGTGCCATTAGTGCAAACTTAGTGTGAACTGCGGAGGTGCTGCTACAAGTGGTTGGTGCCGGCTGCCAAAAACCAAATGACAAAGGAAGATGCAACAGCTTCAGATATCATCGCCAGCGTAAATAGTGAAACAACAAGGTGATTGTGAAGTGCAAACTGTGAGTACAATATTTTTCTAAACTTTTTAAGCGAAATTGAACTTCAGTGTATTAAACTTGTGTCAAAATCAAGATTTATATGATTAGAACATTTGATTTACCTGTAGACTTGTAATATTTTAGTGATTTCTGATATTAACTTAGAATATTTTGTATGTTAGTAGTAAGGACTTAGAATAGTTTGGCAAAAAACGAGGGAACGAGGAATCTGTGACTAATTTTTACTCAATTTATTTAAGTTTATAAACACTTGTAAAATTTTCTTAAAAATTTTGGAGTTTTATTTCCGAGGTTGTAAGGAAGATTAAAATTTTATAGGCCAATAAAATGGAAGGTCTGATAAATGTTCAATTAGATTTACATAATTCAATCAAAAAGGGCTTGTCAAACTTCAAAAAAAGTCCAAAAGAAAGATTAACAAAAGAATATGTAGAAGCAAGATTAGAAAATTTAGAAAGAGATTGGTTATTGTTTAGATCAAATAATACAAAATTATTTGAAATAACAAAACAAGGACAATTAGATAGTACAACGTATGTAAGTAAAGAAATTTACGAAATAACTGAGGACAATTATTTAGTGTATAAATCTTTAATGAAAAATGTTTTAAGTCAATTTTTGTTATCCGAAAATGAATCGAACGATAAAAATGTTAATAGTGATGAGAAGCCTAGCCCGTTAGTGAGATTGCCAAAAATAACTATTCCTGATTTTTCCGGAAATTATTCAGAATGGACGACATTTCGCGATTTATTCGTTTCATTGGTACATAATAATGATTTGCTCAAGAATGTTCAGAAGTTACACTATTTAAAGACTCATTTAACGGGTGAAGCTGCTCAATTAATAAGACACACACCAATAACAGATGCAAATTATATTACATGTTGGTCACTGTTAGAAAAACGTTATAACAATAAAAAATATTTAGCAAACTGTATATTAAAACGTTTGTTTGGGCAGAAACGGCTATATGTAGAATCCGCGTCAGGTATAAAAGAGTTATTGGACACAACCATGGATTGTATGAACGCTTTAGAAAACATTAACGTAGATGTGAGCACATGGGATATTATCGTTATACATATTGTTACCTTTAAATTGGATGCGGAAACGCGTAAACAGTGGGAGCTACATATTTCTAGTTTTTCCGATTTAAATGATTTGCCAACTTTAGAACAACTTAAGTGTTTTATGGAAAGCCGGTTCCGTGCATTAGAGTTCACAGATACAAAAAAGGCCAATACAGGACAATATAATAACAATCCGAGTACAAAACCTAAAGCATTATTGGCCACAAATGTTTCAATGCGCTGTGAGTTTTGCTCAGATCAGCATAAATTATGCTTTTGCAAAAAATTTGCAAAATTAAAGCGTGCACAAAGACGTGACTTCGTAGCCAAAAATTCCATCTGCTTTAATTGCTTGGGTAGGAATCATACTGTGTACGAGTGCAATAAGCCTACGACTTGCAGGATTTGTAAAAGACGCCATCATTCACTCTTACATCCAGAAGAAGAGAAGGCAGATATGGGTGCTGCTATCAAAGAGTCAGTTGTGTGTACTAGCTCAGAAGCTAAGAACTCTGCGATAGTCTCGTGTCTGTCGATGCGTAAAATATCAGGGTACGGACAGGTTTTACTTGCTACTGCGCTAGTAAATGCCGAGTCTAAATCTGGTGGAAACCAAATAGTACGAGCTCTTTTAGACCAGGGCTCTCAGGCTTGTTTCATAACAGAAGCCGCAGCTCAACTTTTACAACTCAAAAAGAGTCCTATCAGAGCAACAATTACTGGCCTAGGAGAAGATAAAGCTTTAACGGCAAAATATGTTGTTACTATTAATCTTAAGTCTCGGATTGATAGTAATTATAAAATCCAGGTCAAAGCGTATGTTCTAAAGAACATAACATCTTATCTTCCAGAACAAAAAATTGAATCCATTGACTGGATAGGCTTACAAGAGTTATGCCTGGCAGATCCTAAGTTTAATGTGTCTAACAAAATTGATATGCTTTTAGGAGCGAATGTGTTCAGCCAAATTCTGATGGATGGTGTGAAAAGAAGTCCCAACGGATCTTTAATTGCCCAAAATACCACTCTAGGTTGGATCGTGTCTGGTATAGTCAATGAGAGCAGTGAGATTGACAAAGATAATAATAAAATATCGGTAATGCATGCACAAATAAACGAACATGATATTTTAAAACAGTTTTGGGAATTAGAAGAACAACCAAGAAGTACAAAAAGTATGTGGTCAGAAGAAGAGCAAAAATGTGAAGAAATATTTACAAGTACAACAAAACGAACAACCGAAGGCCGCTACATAGTGAAACTGCCATTTCGGGACAACCAACCGCGTTGTTTGGGTGGTGGCTCGAGAAAAATAGCTGTCACAAAATTTAAGGCATTAGAGAAAAGGCTATCAAAGGATTTAGAACTAAAAAAGAACTACACGGAGGTCATAAATGAGTATTTACAATTAGGTCATATGAGACGTTTAAGAAAAGATAATAATAAAATTAATGAAGCTGTTTACTTACCCCACCATGCAGTCGTTAGAAAGGACAAAACAACTACGAAAGTTAGAGTCGTTTTTAATGCATCAAGTAAAAATAATTATGGTGTTTCGCTTAACGAAACTTTGATGATAGGACCCACACTACAGGCAGATTTGCGTCACTTAGTAATGCGTTGGAGAATTGATCCGATTGTGCTGGTAGCTGACGTTATTAAAATGTATCGGCAGGTCAGAGTAGCTGAAGACAACACAAAATTTCAACGTATTGTGTGGCGTGAAAACCCTGAAAGTGAAATAGAAGATTTTGAGCTCTTGACTGTGACTTTTGGAATTGCATCCGCCCCTTATTTAGCCGTTAGAGTATTGAACCAAATCAGCTTGGATGAGGGCAAGAATTTCCCATTGGCAGCACCAAGGGTATTACAGGCATTCTACATGGATGACCTAATGACAGGATGTTGCGACGTCAAGGAAGGACTGGAAGTTTATAAGCAAATGACGGACCTATTGGCTAGAGGTGGATTTAAGCTACAAAAATGGAACAGCAACAATGAGGAACTATTATCACAAATAAGCATAAATGAAAAGCTAGCAGACATGAATGAAGAAGACACACCTAATAAGGACATGTTGAAGGAGTACAAACAGAGAAGGGAAATGCAGGAAGGCAACATACAGGACATACAAAATATACTAAAACTAAAGGAAACTGAAAGCTTGAAGGACAACAAAGAAATAGAGGTCAAAACAGAGAACACAACAAAGATTTTAGGTATTAGCTGGGACCGACGTGAAGATCATTTTCGTTATTCAGTGAATCTTCCGAAGACGACGACTGGACCTGAAACAAAAAGAACAATATTATCAATTATAGCACGACTATACGATCCTTTAGGATGGATCGCGCCAAGCATTATTTTAGCAAAGATGTTGATTCAAAGGTTATGGCTAGCAGGAACAAGTTGGGATGAACTAATTCCAGCTGATTTATTACAAGATTGGAATACTTACCGTAATGAGTTACCACAACTCACTTCCGTAAGAGTCCCACGATGGTTAGGCACTTCCACGACGGACACCAACACTGAATTGCATGGCTTCTGCGACGCATCTAAATCAGCATATGCAGCAGTCGTTTATTTAAGAGTCGTTGACTGCGATGGCAATACGAAAGTTTCTTTATTGACAGCAAAAACTAGAGTTGCCCCAATAAAGCAGATCAGTATACCACGTCTAGAATTATGTGGAGCTGTATTATTAACACAACTTTTGACGGAGGTCGCAGAAGTTTTAAACATTAATAAGAGGAATATTAAAGCTTGGATAGATTCAACTGTCGTGCTCGCTTGGCTTAACAGCCATCCCAGTAGGTGGAAGACTTTCGTGGCCAACCGAGTGTCAAAGATTTTAACAAGCCTGAACTCTTCGCAATGGTACCATGTTTCGACCAAAGAAAATCCTGCTGACTGTGCGTCACGAGGTGTCCAGCCAGAAGCACTTGCAGGCAACGCACTTTGGTTTTTCGGTCCAAATTTTCTTCGAGAGAAAACAGAAAACATTCCTTACAAGAGACCCATGAATTTAAAGATCAATTTAGAAGAAGCCATCAAATCACATATTAATGTCATTTCCGATGATGCAATATTTCAGAAGTTTTCTTCCTTACAAAGGCTGCTTAGAGTAATAGCTTATTGCCGACGATTTAATAGGAAGAATAAGTGTACTGAGCGGAAATCTTATCTTACTAAAACTGAAATAGACCATGCACTAATGTGTTGCATTAAGAAAGTACAGAAGGAAGAATTTGGTGAAGAATATTTACAACTTAAGGAGAAAGGTTTATTATCTAAATCTAGTAAGCTCAAATCATTGTGTCCGTATCTTGATAACAATGACATAATGAGAGTTAGTGGACGACTACAAAACTCTCAACTGCCAGCGCAAACAAAGTATCCGATAATACTACCACATTCTGCATATTTCACGAAATTAGTTATATCAGAGGCACACCAGAATACATTACATGGAGGAGTCCAGTTAATGGTGAATTACCTGAGAACCATGTATTGGATTATTGGTGTAAAAAATTTGGCTAAACAACATGTTCGTAGATGTGTAACATGTGTTAGACAAAATGCCAAAGTACAAAACCCGTTTATGGGTTCGCTCCCTGCCGTTCGCTGTACACCCGCTCGAGCATTCTTACACAGTGGAGTGGATTATGCTGGCCCCATAAACATTAGGACAACTAAAGGACGAGGTCACCATTCTCATAAAGGCTACATATGCTTATTCATATGTATGTCCACTCGTGCAATACATCTGGAAGCGGTAAATGACATGAGCACCCAGGCCTTCCTAGCAGCGTTCAGACGTTTCGTAGCAAGACGTGGACACTGCACACAAATATGGAGTGATAATGGGACTACGTTTGTAGGCGCTTCAAGAGAACTAGAGCAACTGAAGACCAACAAGGAAGGTCTTGCTACATACTTAGAATCGCATGGGACTGAGTGGCATTTCATTCCGCCACACGCCCCCAACTTTGGTGGACTGTGGGAAGCTGGAGTCAAGTCGACAAAGTTACACTTGAAACGCGTAATAGGTGAATCCACACTTACGTTCGAGGAAATGAGCACACTTCTCAGTCAAATTGAAGCATGTTTAAATTCTAGGCCCATTACAGTAGACAGCTCAGATCCCAGTGACCCACTTCCTTTAACACCAGGGCACTTTCTAATTGGGGGACCGCTAATAGCTGTACCCGAATTCAATGATTATTTAGAATCAAATATCAGTTCATTAAAAAGGTGGCAATTCATTCAACAAATGTTACAGCACTTTTGGCGGCGCTGGTCTCAAGAGTACTTATCTAACCTTATGAATAGATACAAATGGAGCTCTCGGGAACCAGAACCGAACATTGGTGATGTAGTCTTAGTAAAAGAAGACAACTTACCGCCAAGTCGTTGGTTAATGGGCAGAATAGTTGAAAAGCATCCCGGGATCGATAATGTTACCCGTGTGGTCACAATACGTACTAAGTCATCTTTTATCAAGCGACCAACTTCAAAACTATGTGTCTTACCAGTAAGAGATTAATTAACCAGGATTAATCTTTGTACTTTGTGTTTTAAAATAATTTTAAAATAACCTTACAAATTGCATTTCTTAAAATAAGTTATTAAGTATAAGTTAAATAGTTCTTTTTTGCAACAATTTCAGTTTAACAATATTTAAGTTTAATTAAGTTATTATCTAAGTTAAGGTTTAAATATGTTATCATTTAAGTTTTAATTCAAATGTTATTTTTAAGTTTAAGTTCAGTATGTCAAGACCAATTTTGTCATTCTGCCACGGTGGGCGGTATTGTATTTTTAAGGCCATTTCCGTCATTAAATGTCCTTGGTGGGCGGAATGTTTAAGACTATCATTAGTAGCAATAAAGAAATGTAGATGGCGCTGGGCGATTTAAACACGGGCTATCATTTATCTCACCAGTCAAGTGTATAGTCAAATAAATCAAATATTAAAAGGAAGAATTCAGATCAAGTACATAGTGTTTTATTGTAACCTCTATAGTACCCAAATTAGTTCAACAGTTCAACAGTGCAATAGTTCAGCAAGACCACCATTAAACATTTCATTACCTATATTTCTTAATTTATAATATATAATATAATAATAATAAAATGTTATCTTCTTATAATTGACCCTGTTTCTTTAAATAGATTTTTTTTTATTTAGGTACACAACTTATTTGCATAATTTCTCGCTGTAATGATGTTATTCCTACTCCAAATTAATTTCAAATGAAGTTGTATGACTCAATCTGTGTATATTGTGTACACTAGTTATTGATATGTAAGAGAGAGTATAAAAATGTGTATGTTTTTGTGATAATGTGTATCTATTTTAAGTGTATGTTTTAAATATATAAATAAATAACGAATTTAATCACGCAGACAAACTTCTAACAAAATCCTATATTCATCACAACTTTAAATAAAGATCATACATAGTCCATCTGCTGACATATTACTGAAACCCATAGACATCTATCCCCGTTTAAGAATAAAGACGCAGATGCGTTGTCATCCTGAAAAGTAAGATTGATTGTCTCAGCCCCAGTAAAAATATAAGCGATGAGGCCGCCTATTGTACCTTTATATAAAAAGCAAAACTGCAGCTTAAATACGTCACACTCTTCCCTAACAGAATTCTTCATAGGCCTCCTCTCATTTCTAAGAGGATTTTGGAGCAAGGAATTGTACGCCACGCTGCCACCATTATGGTACCAAAAGTATTATTTTCAATTTCTCTGATATGCAGGTTTCCCTTTTTCCCTCCTAGGTTGTTTTGCTTTAATGGAAATGTCCACCGCGTTGCACCAATGCGTGTTAACTTGAGACTGCACGTGTCATTGAAATTATATAATTTTTCAGACAGGTATTCTTTTCCCTTCACTGAGAACGTGATAAATATGAACTTAAAATTCCAATTGACTGTGCCACCGGTAACTGCGGGGTTGCTGACTGTGATTTTTATAACGATCGCTTAGCCTGAGCTTTCACGGCTCACCTAATTATGTAATTTGTATCTGCACCATTTTTTAAAATGTTTTTGTTTTTATTTTCCTGTTTTTTGTGTACAAAAATAAAGTATATTTCATGTATTCATTTGATAGCTTCTCGTCCCTTACCAACAGCAGCACTGCGTTATGTAGCTTTTATTTTTCGTTAATAAAAAAAATTTTCCTTGAAAAAAATTACTTCATGAAAACAGATTGTCTTACTCGTAAAATGACTCATTTTGTATCGGCGAATCAGCCTGATATTTTCTTAGATTTTATGATATTCCACCGTCGAAGATTTTTATGCTCGAGATAAGAACTCTCCGCCGATATAAAAATAAAACGGATTAAGAAACTTGAGCTTTATAACGAAATTTGCAGATGACCTTTCAATATGAGCAGAGATTTGCGTTGGTAAGTAATTACTTATATTTCTATACATATAATATATATATATATATATATATATATATATATATATATATATATATATATATAGATAAATTAATAAGATTAATACCCAATAGCAAATTATAAACCGAAAGAAAATAAGTGGGTCCCGCCTGCTACTAAGGTTTGGGTATTTATCTAGGCTTTCAGCTCACAGTATAGTCTGTTAAACCTAAGTAGAGTTTACATTGTTAATATTTTATTTTAATTTTGTTTTCCATTCTCAAACGCAAACATTAACGTCAGTCGTTCCTTTTTTGTTTCTTACATATTTTTTTAACGTGTGTGTGATCTCCCCTTTTCCTTCCACATGCCACACGTGCATTTTCTTTTCGGCCAGTACGTTTATATAAAGTTTAAAAATAAATCTGTAGTCGTAAACCGTAACAATTAATAATAAAAGTGTTACTTGTAGTCTTTAGGAAACTAATATATAATAACTTTGAATACCGTCTTCCTATGAATTGGACCACGTGCCGATTCGACCTGACTTTGTATAATTTGATCGGGCCCTTGTCGATTCGTGACGGGAAAATCGCAAGTTTCCTCTTTTTATCGTTTAAATATGAAATTGCTTTCTCATGTGCATAGTTTTAACATGTTATTTCCCTTGGTCCCGTCACCTAGGTCTATATATGAATAGGACTATTGTTTTACGTGTAAAATTTTGTTAAAACATTGGTATTTTCTTATAGCTATTAGAGCTCAACGGAGTTTTCCATTGTATAACCAGTCGAAAATTGTGTTATATAGTACACCTAATGATAAGTGGATGCAGTGGCCTATAGACATTTATTAAGCATGCCATCTTTTTCTTCATTAAAGTTGATTGCATTTGTTCATGAGCTGCAAAAGCCACTTACCATCAGTTTCACATCATTCCGATTCCGATTGAAATTTAGTTAATGATATTATATACAAAAATAAGTAATGTCATTGAATTTAGCAAATTAACTAGTCTAAAATGTTTATATTTCTTATAATTTCAGCCAAATTATCCAAAGCAGAATAAATACGGTAAAATTTGAATAGGCTCTCGACGGAAAGTGACAAGAGTTAGGCGGGAAAACATTTTTATTTTTTATTGACTAAGGAGGAGGTTTGAATTTCGACTGTATGATATTTTTTACGTATATTACGCGATATCTTAGCTAATTGTGAACCGATTTTGATGATTTTTTTGTTTTTATAAATAGGTTATAATTGATGCCGAGTCCCATAAACACAAAAAATACACATCCTACACATGGCAAAATTTGGGATGAAGATTTAATATAATTATTTTTACATTGAGATTGTATATAATATTCTGAAGTCGGAGCTTTAATAAATCTTTACACCACGTTTTTAGAATGTGAAATTATTGTAGTAGAGGTCAAAACATAGACTTCAGATACCTTTTAATAGATACCATAAAACGTTGACTAGCCCTGGCGTAGCTTGTCATGAAAGAAAATTATGTGTTCAAGTTAAATAATATTATATATGTCGGATTTTGACGTCCATTATAAATATTAAAATGAGCAGATGCATGAACTCCGTTGCAATCATCGGTTCTGCTATTAAGTATATCCATGACAAATCAATATCATACCACAAGAAAATATCAGTTCACTTATTACTTGTTCGACATAGACAGTTCTCTTAATGAACATAGTTTCAATACAATTTCAATACAAAAATCCAAACCCAAGTATACCACTGCAAGGCTTCAAAACACTGAAGCTCATTCTGCGTAGATCGGACCAAAATTAATATTCAAAAACTGAAGGTAGCCGGGCTAACTGTGACATCGAGACGTCAAACAGCTCAGTCCCCCCATCCTTCATGACGTCAGAATTAAAAAGTTAAATAAAGCGCGATAGAATCCATAAAGATTGGTTTCATTTAATGTGTAGTCTTTGCGTAAATAAAATTAATAATAGTATGGTCAAGTTATTAATTACTTAAACTACTCACACTATTTGCTTTTGATTTTAACATATCAAGGAATGACCGTTCCAGTGAATTTTCGTTAAAGGCGCACAACGCCACCAATCCCGCGCGGTCGTAAAAATGCGCGGGCCAATGGCGTTGCGCAAACTTTGAGACTTTAATAATTTTATTGTAGTCATTGTATTGTATGAATTCATAATAAACCTGTAGTTACTAATAATTAAAGACAGGATTTCTTAAGATTAGAACATAATGATTTCTAAAAATTAAACAATTATTACTCAGTTGAAACTCGAATGCAATAATAATTACAGGATAGTGAAAAACAACCGTTTTACCGTGTAGTGGCGGTCAAGAATACCACTACCCCATATCCTCCCGTGGGTGTCGTAAAAGGCGACAAAGGGAAACAGGCAGGAGATGGGCAGCAGCATCTTCCTGATAATAGCCAAAATTATAATAAAAAACTGCGGTTGCCAACCCGCTCGCCAAGCGTGGCAACTATGGCAAATACCCCCTTATGAATGTAACAAAGAGACGGCCCCCAGTCCCCGGCGGCCCCGCTATTCCTGGCTACGGTGGCGACCATGGTAACGGCGGGGCAGGGGGTGCTAAGAATCTCCGGTGGAGGTTCGGTTGCCACCTTAGACGACTCGACCTGGCAACGTACAACGCACGCACCCTGAGGACTGACGAGAAGATCGTGGAGCTGGAAGAAGAGATAGACAACTTGCGCTGGCATATTATAGGATTATCCGAAGTCCGAAGAGAGGGGGAGGACACGGTAATCCTCGAATCCGGCAACTTGCTCTATCACCGGGAGGGCGACCATCTATCCCAAGGAGGTGTCGTATTTATCGTCCACAAGTCTCTCGTTAACAACGTTGTAAAGATCGGGAGTGTGTCGACGAGGGTTGCGTACCTTATACTCAGAATCACCAAACGGTATTCGTTGAAGGTCATACAGGTTTACGCACCAACCTCGGCACACCCCGATGGGGAGGTGGAGGAAATGTATGAGGATATCTCTAGAGCCATGCATTCCTCCAAAACCCAATATACGGTGTTAATGGGAGACTTCAATGCAACACTAGGCACAAGAGTAAACGGTGAGCTGAAAGTAGGGAAATTTGGAATAGGGCAA